GATATTACAAGATGAAGTCACCCAACCCCCGGACGTTTCCGCCGTTCTGGTTCGGGGGTGTGACATGGAGGGTCTTCATATCTCCATGAAAGAGGCTTGTGATCTTCATTACTTTTGGGGTCTTCATCGTCCCCACAATGGTATTTCTATCTCTCATCTTATGTATGCCGATGATGTTACGTTTATAGGCGAATGGTCGAATCACAATTTTGTGAATCTCAATCGTTTACTTCGTTGTTTCTTTCTTATTTCAAGTTTAAAAGTTAATTTGCATAAAAGTAAAGTGTATGGTGTCGGGGTTAGTAACTTGGAGATAGATAGATTTGCAAGTAATTTAAAATATGAATCTGCCTCCTTTCCTTTCACATATCTCAGTTTACTGGTTGGTGCGAACATGAAGCTTTCAAAAAATTGGACCCCGGTGGTTGACAAATTTAGAGCCCGTCTTTCTAAATGGAAAGCTAAATAGCTTTCCTTTGGGGGTCGTCTCACACTTGTGAGTTCGGTGCTTAATAGTCTCCCTCTTTATTATTTTTCGTTACTTAGAGCTCCTAAAAAGATAATATCCTTACTTGATAGTATTAGAAGAAGGTTCTTATGGGGAGGTGATGAGGAAAGAAGAATAATAAATTGGGTTGCTTGGGATGTAGCTATTAAACCAAAGTGCAAGGACGGACTTGGTATTGGTTGTCTTGACTCCGCTAATCTTGCTCTCCTTGCTAAATGGTGGTGGCGTTTAAAGAATGCGATCGATTCTTTTTGGTTCTCATGTATCAAGTCTATTCACAACTTAAAGCTTGTGGATGGAAGACCGATTGCTAAATGTTCCATAAAAGGTGTTTGGTTCATGATCTCTTAAATTGGAGTGGAACTTGAAAAAAAAAGTATTTCTTTATCAGATTTATTTAAAAGTGAGGTTGGGATTGGGGACAAAACTTACTTTTGGAAAGACTCTTGGAGTGGGGATATCCCGCTAAAAGATATTTGTCCTAATATTGATGCTTTGGATGTTAAGGATTGTTTAGTAATGGAAAGGGTGATTAATGGGGTTGTTTCAGAGTCGTGTTGGGCTTGGGATTAGTCGAGACAGTTGAGGAGGGGCAGAGAAAGTTTACAATTTTCTGTCTTGACTGACATGCTGAAGAATTTTTAGTTTTGTTGTGGCTTTGACAAGTGGAAGTGGATTGGCGATCGAATGGGGAGTTTTCAGTTAAAGGGAATGAGAAACTTAATTGATAGTTCCAACGAGGTCTCGACTTGCAATTTTAAGTGGGTTAAGTGGATTCCTCTTAAGGTTAACTCATTTGTTTGGCGTCTTTTTAAAAACAGGATCCCTACATTTCCAAACCTGAGTGATTGGAGTTGTGTCGTCTTTATGTCCGTTTTGAGATTCTTTTGATGAATAAATTAATCACCTGTTCTTCTCATGTCAGTTTGCTACTTCGGTTTGGAAATGAAACGTTGAGTGGTCGCCTGCTTTTAGCTCGTTGCCTGAATGTTGTTCAAATCTTTTGGAGTTAATTAATTCGGGAGGTGGTTGTAAAAGTTTGCAGAATTCAGGTTATCGATTGCTTATGCATCTCTTTGGTTTATTTGGAAGACCCGCAATGGTGTTGTTTTTAGGAACGAACGACCAGTTGTTTCGCTTTTAGCGGATGATATTAGTATTAGCACTTTTAATTGGATAAAATATAGGTTTATGTTTTGTAACCTTGATTTGTATGTTTGGTGTATATCTCCTACTTCGATATTTTCTTGTATGTGACTTGAGCTCCTTGTTTTAGTCCTTCTTGTTTTAGTGCTAATATAATTTTGTGATTGCCGTTAAAAAAAAAAAATTTATTGATGATGGTAATTTGAACATCCATTTTTGCCCCTTCGTCGTCTCATTGAATTACAAACCTAACCCTCAATTTTTGCTTTCTTCGTCCTCACCTCTACTTCAACGTCACGACCAGCGGCTTCTTCTCGCCGGCAAGGCAGCAGGTTACCCCCCCCCCCCCACCCACAACCCCCCCCCCCCCCCCTTTTTTTTTTTTAATCTTATTCGCTACTTTCAGTCACACATTCACACATAATCACACCAGCAAATTGATTGAGTTAATGTTCTTTTCGTCAAATTAGGGATTTTGAGAAACGACGACGATTTGATTGGTGTTGATACCGGTATCGTTTCATTCATATATTTCGAAGCTTTATTAACTGTTGCAATTTCTGTTCTTGAGTTCGCAATGTCGCCCGATCAATATAGCCTTTACCTTTCTGATAATCAATTTACGCGTGTTTGCTAATAAAATTGACGGGTATCACGAGATTAATCTGAAGTATTCAACTGATATATTATACGTTTGTGAAAAACCTTGGATCTGTCAGTTAACGAACTCAGATCGTTTCAATCGATTCATTGTTGTGGTTAACTAATCAACACAATTACATCACGATTTCCCTCCAGTTGTACATTGTTTTTATTTTGACTGTTGTTTCCATTACTTGTTTAATCACTAATCACTATCCTCTGGTTAGCAATGTCAAGGGTTACTACATTGTTGCAAAAGGGAAAGAGAGCTTTGCAAGAACTGGAACTGCTTAAAGTCTTGCAATCAGAGATAAGACACGAGCTTGCTAATGATCCTTATAAGGTACCTCTATTTCTATAATCATTCTTTTCTTTTACAGATACTAGACTAGTTCTTTAGTTCTTTTGTTAATGGAAACTAATTAATGCATTCATGGATATGAATTTAGAATGAAACTGGTTCCTCAGGCGATTTTGTGATGGATTGGGATTCACAACATTCCAAAGATGTAACTATGCGCAAGAAGTGTGAATCTGGTGAGGAGCTTGCTGTTTCTGCAATACTTGGTGAGGAAACCTTTCTAGGAGATGACTGTTATCCCAAGGAAGTGGATATGAAGGTGTGCATCAAAAAGACAGGATTGACCTCAATACTGCAGTTTGATTGTAAAGTTTTGGACCAAGGTCAAGATAGAATTGACTTTCATATTCAAAATGCATATTATTTGAAGTCACCTACCGATTTCAGTTCCTCAGTCTACAGAGTAGTTACCCCTGTTCAGGTATTTTTTCACTTTGTTATCAGTATAGACAATGTACTTTATGGGGTATGTTAAAGTTGTAGTTTAAGAAATAATTAAAATTTGGTTAATTTTGATGAATTCATTATTTATTTTAGGAACTTAGACCTGGTTTGCAACAAGAGCTGAAGCAGTACCTAGTTCAAGAGGAATAGGAAAAGCCTCACCAACTTCCTCCTTCTCCACTTACACAAAAAGGAGCAAAATCATACATAAAATGGTTGCAAAATTGGAAGCCATGGTGGCATAAAATGGTAGCTTCTTTTATTTTTTAACATAGAAGTGTTTGACAAAAGTAGCTGGAAGCTTTTGAAAGCTATAAAATTTCATAAGACATGAAAAAACAAAAGTTAAAAGCTTTGAAAAAACTACTCGAAGGAGCTTTTGGATTATGAGTTTTCTTTTTCTAATGTAAAAACTAAAAAAATTTAAAGCTCTTGTAAGCTTGTTTCCAACCACTCCATTCCATAAGTTGTTGGACAGGATTTGGGAGAAAGTTGTTTGGATAAGATTTGGATAGGTTTTGGGAGTAAATAATATAAGTTGTTTAGTTGTTTGGATAGCATTTACTTTGTTGGAATGCTAATATTGATTTGTACATGTCAAACAGTACAAGTTTGTGACCACAGGAAGTGAACCTTATAGGAAGTGATAAAATCAGAGGTGACATTGAAAATGACTGTTATATTATAATAATAGTTTCTAAAATTTTAAACTCAATTTTACTAGTATTAAGTTGGCGATAAAATCCTTATAGGAAGTGATAAAAGCTGAATTTTAATTTTAGTATTCCGAAAAACAAATGCTGAAATTTCAAGAGAATGTTTTGTTTTTACTGAAGTAGAATAAAATTTTGAAATAGATTTAGATAGTGGGTATCCGTTTTTGGAACCAGAACCGTCGGTTCTGGAATCGGAACCTAGGTCATTGGTTCCGGTTCTCAAAAGTGGGAACTGCCAATTACTGGTTCCGGTTTTTGTTTCCATTTTTTTTGGTAACCGTTACCCGTCGGGTAACCGTTAGAATTGATTCCAAAATATTAAAAATTTAAAATATTTAATATTTAAACAAATTGGTCATAACATCATTGATGACTAAGACATTTATTGGGACTCTGTCTAACCGGTTATTGGAGGTAACATGCTAATAAATCATATTTTCAATTTTTTTATTTCAGTAATACAAATGGTCTAAAATGAATGTGAATTTGTGATATCTTTTGAAAATATATGATGTTAAATAATATTAACATGTTAGTGGTAGGAACATGAACTTTGGTTTATGACTTATATTTAGCAACTTGGATTATTTTTTAAAACGATTATCTTATTGTCGTTTGTAAATTGTATCGTAATGAACTAGTTATAGTATATATTTTTTGTTTCGGTTGATAAGAATTATTTTTGTATTAACGAAACTAAAAAAATGATGTAATCGGGTTATACGGTTTCGGGACTAGTTCCAAAAATTTAAAAACTGCCTAGACGAGTTCCGGTTCTGATTCTAACTTCGCAGGAACCGCCAGTTCTGGTTACGGTTCTGACGAAATGAGGCTTGTACCCACCTATACTCATCCCTACTTATTACAGATCATTTTATCGAAAAGCCGGTAACAATAAACATTTTTACTTATGAGCATAGAAAAAAGTTTTGATTGGTGTTCGGTGAAATAAAAGAAATCTGCATGTTATTTTAAAAAATTATAAAAACGCATCATCTCTTGTAGTTTTGTGATTAACCTTCATATGTAGGGATGAGCATATGGACCGGGGAACCGGCCGGAACCGGTCCCGGAACCGGTACCCGATGGAACCGGTCGGGCCGGGACTGGTACTATAATCTCGTCAATTTTTGGAACCGGGACCCGGTAAGAACCGGTCATTGGAACCGGCCCAAAAACGGGAACCGGACCGGATAATTCACTCAAATTTTGAAAGTTACATAACTCACCCAATTTAACTTTTTTTGACCTGAATCTTTTTCCTACATGTAGATTATGATTTGTACTTAAGTTTAGACTATAAAAACGTTTGATTTGGTTAAAAATTGAATGAGTTACAAGCCCCGCAAGGAAGGGTATCAAATCAGAATTTTTTTTATGTTTCAGCAATTAAATGTAATCTGACTTTGTTGTTCAAATGTGCATGACTCACTCAATTTAACTTGTTTTGACCTGAATCTTTTTTCTACATGTAGATTAGGATTTTTAGTTAAGTTTAGACTATAAAAACGCTTGATTTGGTTAAAAATTGAATGAGTTACAAGCCCTGCAAGGAAGGGTGTCAAATCAGATTTTTTTTTATGTTTCAGCAATTAAATGTAATCTGACTTTGTTGTTCAAATGTGCATAACTCACTCAATTTAACTTGTTTTGACCTGAATATTTTTCCTACATGTAGATTAAGATTTTTAGTTAAGTTTAGACTATAAAAACGCTTGATTTGGTTAAAAATTGAATGAGTTACAAGCCCCGCAAAGAAGGGTGTCAAATCAGATTTTTTTTTATGTTTCAGCAATTAAATGTAATCTGACTTTGTTGTTCAAATGTGCATAACTCACTCAATTTAACTTGTTTTGACCTGAATATTTTTCCTACATGTAGATTAAGATTTTTAGTTAAGTTTAGACTATAAAAACGCTTGATTTGGTTAAAAATTGAATGAGTTACAAGCCCATCAAGAAAGGGTGTCAAATCAGAATTTTTTTTATGTTTCAACAATTAAATATAATCTAACTTTGTTGTTCAAATGTGCATAACTCACTCAATTTAACTTGTTTTGACCTGAATCTTTTTCCTACATGTAGATTAGGATTTGTAGTTAAGTTTAGACTATAAAAACGTTTGATTTGGTTAAAAATTGAATGAGTTACAAGCCCCGCAAGGAAGGGTATCAAACCAAAATTTTTTTTATGTTTCAGCAATTAAATGTAATCTGACTTTGTTGTTCAAATGTGCATAACTCACTCAATTTAACTTGTTTTGACCTGAATCTTTTTCCTACATGTAGATTAGGATTTGTAGTTAAGTTTAGACTATAAAAACGCTTGATTTGGTTAAAAATTGAATGAGTTACAAGCCCCGCAAGAAAGCATGTCAAATCAGACCGGTTCCAAAATCGGAAACCCGGCAACAACCGGACCCGGACCCGGAACCGGTGGAACCGGAACTGGTAGAACCGCCGGGCCGGTTCGGTTCTTGATTTTGGCCGAAGCCGGTTCCCGGTTCAGATCCGGGTCGGGCCGGTTCTGGCCGGTTCGGTCCGTTTGCTCATGCCTATTCATATGTACATGTTTATAAAAAATACAACATACATAGAGTATGTTTGACAAAAGTAGCTAGTAGCTGAAAACTGTAGCTTTTATTTGTATAAGAGTGTTCGACACAAGAAGCTGAAAATTGTTGAAATATATAAAGTTACATAAAATGGTATATTGATATAAACTAAAATTGAAATATAATGATGATATATTAATTTTTCTAAATTATATTTATCAAAAGTTAAAAATCATCCAAATTTTAATATCTATTACACCGGTTAAGCTTCTCAATTGGTAAAAACTTTTTTTATGCATATTAGTAAGGTTGTGTTTGGCGCCCCACAACAAGTTTAGTTTTCAAGCTTTTTAAATTTGTTATGTTTGGCAAGCCGAAAGTAGTTTATAAGTTAGCTTTTTAAAAAACTACTTAGGTTAACTTTTCAGGAGTTCTTTTAATTTCCAAATTGACACTTAATTAATTATAAAAAACATATTTTTCTAAATGTCATTTTATGTTATGTTATATCTTTCACCTAGCTTATAGCTTATCGGTTACATTTATCAAAGTTGTTTTTTATCAGCTATCCGATAGCTTTCAGCTACTATGCTAAACATAGCGTAGATGATGTTTTTTACAGATAAAATAATAAAGACTTTTTAATTTCGTAAGAATCCAAACCAAATATATTTTACATATCTCAAGTGTTTCAACGTTCTAAAAAAATAGTATTGTTGTATAATTAATTTTGGTTTATAAGTTCATATCATAAATATCTATTACTTTGTTAGATGGATATTAATAAATTATAATGATTATTGATATTATTGTTTCAAATAAAGACATCATAATTATTAAAATATATTTATATTTAATCATATAAGATAATTACTAAAAGTATGGATATGATTTATTTATTTTAAAGAGTATTTAAGTCAATTTGTTAAAATCCAAAAAACTTTTTTGTTAAACGCTAGTTGAAGTAGATTTTGAATTTGAATTTTTTTGTTTAGGGATATTGAGTAATCCAACCCTTATAAATGACCTTTTTTGACACATACAATAAACATATACATATAACAACACGTGGCTGTGTTAGGTCCGTATCAACCCCATATGACAGCATGTAGCTGTGTCAGGTCCATATCAACCCCCGGGTCCATATCAACCCATATGAAAGCAAGAGGATGTGTCAGGTCCATATCAACCCTCGAGTCCATAATGACTCTGAGCCCAGATTGGCTCTATGCATATAACATATAATCCTACTGGTAATAATCACATTGTAACGTCCCAAAAATTAAGACTAAAAATTTTGATTTTTAAATTAATAAAACCATTATCCAAAACAACATCATAAAACCATAGTGAATCAAAGTGTATCAATAACATCTCGGTACATCAGAGTAATATAAAATGCAAAATGATGTGGTGTGTGCACTGTAATCATCTCGGGCTCTTCCCTTCAAACCAGAAGTATCTGAAACATAAACTGAAAACCGTAAGCACAAAAATTAGCGAGTTCCCCAAAATACCACATACCATACATATCAAACATATAATGGGCCCCGCCCGTCTTTGGGCCCCTCCCGACATCGAGCCCCGCTCGGAATAGATCTGTCAGTCATCAGGCCCCGCCTGACATTTGGCCCCGCCCGGTATACATAAAAACATATAAACACATGCATAAACACATAATACATGCAAGAGTCACGCAGACAACTAGCATCCTAAACATATTAAACCATGGGCCGACATTGGCGCCTTCGGCCCGCTGAACACAATGAAGAAATTTACCTCAAGCTGCAAAATCACTCAGATAAAATCTCAGTTTGCAGGTCCATCGCGATATTCCTTTTTGCCACGTCGTGGCGACCTGGTGTCACACCGTGGGCACTG